TAACTTGGTAGAGTAAAGAAAAGTCAAAACCGTTGCGATATTGCATTGCGCTGTTTTTTTATAATTCTCGGGGACATTAACGAAAATCATTGCATCTACCTCTCTGTTGAATATAGAAAATAATGTATCTTGTAAGACACCATTGAGTTTGACTTAAACTATAGTATAGTATAGAATATTTATAGGCAAAAAATATAAAAACAAAGCACGATTCAATACAGTTCTGATAAAACTTTAGGATTTAGTATTAAAACGGGGAGTCATCCTATACACTTCTATATTTTTCCATTTGCAGCGCACTCTATTTTAAAGTAAAAAAATCACGCCGTGCCATTGCAAGGCTAGCCGTAGAATCACCTACTTTATCGTCACTATGTAAACTAAAATTCAACTTTACTATAGTGTATAATTAATAGTTATTTATGTCATTAGGTTAAGAAGTAAGGATTTTTGTGCTAAGCTCAAAGTTTGAAGGCCGACGCGTAGCGGAGGCCTACAATTGAGCGAAGCACAAAAAGACACTTCTTGGCCGAATGGCATACAACATTTTATCTTCAAATCACTTTATATAGGTCAATTTAATTCAACATGAAAGCGGCCTAACCTCACTTTTTTATAATCTCATTTATTTATTAGCTAAAGATTACATTAAATGTTCAATAATTATTATTCCTTTTAGAAGCAGTAGTTTGACAATAACAGAAAATGGTTTACTTACCCTCTTGCTATTACATTGAATTCAATTAATTGTTTAATAAATAGGTATCTAATTTCAATTTGTTTGCATTTTTATTAAAAAAATTGGTAGTTTGGAATGTTTACGCTGTGTTTAACATTTAATTTCACTGAAAACTTAAAGCAAATTAAAACTTAAAGATAATTTAAATCGTAGAAAAAGAAAACACAACTGGGAAATCCACAGAAACGTCAAATTGCAATGTCCTAACCTTACTTTTTGTTTTATTATTCAAATTTAATTTTGCAATAATTTAATGAAAAATAATAAACATTAACAAACAAATTAGTGCTTATTATAAATAAATTAAACCAGTTTAGTACGTTAATTTCTTAGAAAAGGATTAATTTGTCAAAACAATACCCCTAGCGAGAAAAAATCGAACTAATTACTTGCCTCATAAAAATTTTTATCGGCCTAGGCCATAACAAGTTATTTCTTTATCGAATGTTGACAACAATAAAGTTTAAATTATAGACCGCGTGGAGATAAAATATTTATTGCACTCCCTTTGCCACTAAAAAAAATGCTTTTATCTAGCGATTAAGGCAAATTTGTTTTTGTAATTTTTGGAATGCCACATCTTTATTGCTCTGAAAAAAAGTTATTTATATAAATAATACTACCTATATGGTAACGAAAAGACGTAAAATAAAATACACATTTTTTACAATTTATTTAAGATATATTAGTTAACCATTCATATAAGTTTACCTACTTTCAAACACCACAAGAGGATCAGGATCTGACAACCATAGCGACACACATAATATATCTTTATAACTGATTATAAATGGTTTTCCAGTAAGAGTGCCACATTTTTAAGTTGACAAGTGGAAGGCCTTTCTATGCCAATAATCCAGAGATTCCAGATGATTTCAGGACCACCATGGAACCCGAAAATGTCGTGTCATGTTGTGCGATGTAAAGTTGTTGCAATAAACCGCAAACTTCAATAAAAAAATAAAATAATTTATAAACGTTGTTAAAGGCTTCAACTTAAAGCGTTTACTGTTCCATTAATTAAAATGGTAGACACTGGCAAGTACAAATGTCAAAATATCAAGGAAATCTACCTAAAAGAAATGTCAAATTGAAAACGCGAAACTCCTAATGGAAAACCCTGTAGTAACAATAATTAGGTATACAATTTAAAAGGTACAAAATCTAAAACCTAATGGTCACGAAAATATTATAGGTCTTTTTTACTATCTAACTACATTTCAGAAAACTATATTACCTTTGGTTTATCATAGGAATCTTAATAAAGTAAAATTAAAATGTACAGTCTGTTAGAAAATAAATCTACAAATTAGCTGTAATTACTTTACAGGCACAACATGAATATATAATATACTTTTAGTTACACACTAGAAAAATATTTTTAATCATTACTACCAAATTAAAAACAATATCATGACAAGTTTAATTTGTGCGATGTTCTTTTAACAGAAAAATCATCATTTATATTTTTGTTAAAAAAGAAATTTCTTTACATAAAATAAATTTTAGTGAAAAAAATATTATAAAGCGCCATTAACAAAAGCAAATATTTGATAATAATGATTATTAAAAATTTGAACTAAACTTAAGAGCAAGAAAGCAATTGCATTGTATTAATACATACAATGTATGTATTATAGAGTATTATAGAAATCACGTTATTTTTTACGCAACATTATAGAAAACAATTATAAAAAGTTACTATAAGTATTTAATTGGAGTTTCAGAAAATGATTGGTGTAAGGTTAGTATTACAATGATTGTTTCTTCTCCTTTCTAAACATTTATAACAATGTTTTAAGTAAATTTTGGTAGCATTTTTTAATTTTTATTTTGCCTTAAAATTGTGCATTATTAAAATACTTTAAAATTATGTTTCCAAAATTTAAATAAGTTCTTTCGTTTACATACATCCCTTTAACTTAAATTAAGTTATGCCCAACAATTTTAGAATTCATTCTCACTGATTATTATTAAAAACAATAATATATTATATATTAATTACCCTAGACTATTATTAGGTGTCTTATCTAAAAATTAAGTGTTTTTAAAATAAAACCTAAATAAACCTTAAAAATATTAAAAAAGTAGTAAGGGTGGTCAAGTAATTTATTACCATAACCTAGGTAGGTATTCTATAAATCTGTTCTACATAAAAATATTTAAACATCTATTAGTAACAACAATTTAATAACTAGATTTTAAATTTCTAAGTGAAGAGAAAAGTACTTAAAAAAGGAGAAGTTTTGATTGTCTTATTCCACATAATTTCAATTTATATCTTGAAGGTTCCCTGTACTTATTTATTTACAAATTTCCGTTTTTTACACATAGTTATATAAAATATTTTGGCCTTACATGGAAGACAATAAATGCAACTTTCTATTTATTTTTCTAAAAAAATCTTTAATCTCACGTTTATGTCTTTAACTACTCTAATATTTTTTTTAAATAACAATTTCAAAAATATTTATATTTCACCCTGTGTCCTCTAGAAGGTCTAATAGAAAGGTATATTTTTAAGGTTTATTTGGTAAATTATATTTGATAGGTATATAAAAACTATAAAAATATATGACTTTTATAAAAATATATAGCAAGATTAAACAAAAATAAATGTTACTTAAAATCTTTGGCAATGACAAAAATTGGATTTTAATTTATGTAATACACGTATTTGAGGAACGAAAGCAACGGGTTTATAACGAAACTAACGAACAGGTTTTTTATAGACAAAATCTTTTATTAAAATGTGTAAAAGTATTAAAGTAAAGCTGTTTAAAGGTTTAAAATTTAATTTTGTCCATATAAAAATGATTCAATATAATAAGTACAAAAATAAAAAACGTAATTAACTTAAATCAACAAGGTGGCAAATTTAGTTAATTTTTATTCTTTGTGTTGGAACTATCTTAATTTATTTAAATGCAATAATTCACCAGGGTACGTATTCTTTCATCAGTTTGTAGGTGTTGCGAGCACTAAAATTTGATCATGATAGGATAAACAGGTGCGATTTGGCGTCTATTTTCCCGATTACTAAGTTTGTTTGCAAAGTAAAACAATTTAATTAAGAAAACAAGTAAACAAACATATTGACGGTTAATAAAAGATTAATTTGGTGCTCGCCAGATTTAAACAATATTTAAATAAACTGCGCACCACTCAATGTGTCGCGACCAAAAAGTTCGTCCTTTTTTAAAAGGACATAGCTTTTTTGTTTCCTGAACGATTTTATTTTGGTCTGTGATGTCTGCTAGCCCCATCCTCTGGCAATTCATGTTATAGATATGAATCTCACGGTTCTTTAAGTAAATTTTATACAGGGTGATATGTTAAACGGTGAAACATTTCAACTCCCGTAGCTGCCTAAAGTCTGGCATTTGCATTTTAATCATTTAAACTTTAAATGATTAAAATGCAAATGCCAGACTTTGCTGCAGCTACGGGAATTAACATCTTCAAATCAACGGTAAATTTTAAAGGAAGAATGGAAGTAACCTGGGTAAGATATGGGTAGGTATGTAGGTAGGTAGGTATAACTTATGCAAAAAACTTCGAAATTTCGAAAAAACACAAGCAAACTGAAAAAATCAAGAATATCCCTTATAATGCGTTTTGAATGGTTTTGAAGAACTAATTTTGATCATTTGATCCTCGATTTGATCATTTAGGTTTAGTTTTCGCAAATTTTTACCAAAATGTTATTTTGAAAAAGTGTTCTTTGCTTAGGCCCTCTGAAAATGATGGAAGTTTGTTGCTTGTCGCTTGTTCAGAATTATTTAAGAAACAATCTTTCACCATCTTATCTTCTTATTCCTAAAAAGACTGAGTGTATTGCCTACAAAAAAGCCTTAAATGAACTCTTTTGGAAAAAAAATCATAATTTCGTTGCTAAGATTCCAATTCGAAAAATTTGAAACATGTTTTAAGGTAAGACATAATACTTCATTATTTAAAAGTAAAAACGATAAAAAAATATTTTTTTACAAACGGGGCTTGAATGAAGTTATTGAAATTTTTCACCGTTTAACATATCACCCTGTAGGAAATTTACTTGAAGAACCGTGAGCTTCATATCTATTGCATAAATTGCCAGAGGATGAGGCTAGCAGACATCATAGACCAAAATAAAATCGTTTAAGAAACAAAAAAGTTATGTCGTTTTGAAAGAGAACGAAATTTTTGGTCGCGACACATTGAGTGGTGCGCAGTTTAGTTGGTTTATTTAAAACATTAAATTTTTAAAGAAATTTACCACTTGGTTGATTTTAACGATCGCCTATATATAGTTATGTATTTGGTATTGGGAGGCACCGTCTATTTGTATAAAAATTATTTGTTCAAAGATGCCGCGTCATAATATGAAAATACTTCTATACACAGTTACAAAAGAAGCGATTTCCTTAGGAAATAAGCAATTGGGGGAGGCAGATGTCCTAGAACAACAAGAAGGAGACTCGAGTACGTCTCGAGTCGCCCTTGTTACGCCGGGACATCCCCATTTGTCATAAGCTCTGGTCCGAGCCTGTGGTGCCACTTCCTTTGTTGTCTGGGCCGCTGGCACCGCCAGAGGAAGAACCGCCCTCTCCTCCGGAACCTCTTCCGACTCCGGCACCGGCACCTCTGAACTCCAGTTTGTACTAAAAATATAAATAATCATTGGCATATCATTTTTATTAATTTTACGGATAAATTACAGAACTGGGGCAATTGTAAATTTGAAATTTTGTAATGTTTACAACCTAAGAATACTATAGGTACCTACCAGTTAAAAAAAGAAAAATTAATAATTTTTGGAAAAAATTCTTTAAAGAAAACTAATAGGTATCTAACTTTTTATTAATAAAATCAATAAATACAACATGTGTTGTGTGAAACCACCATACCCAGATAGCACACAAAGTCTGGAAGATGTCTTTTGTATGTCTGTATTATTCCTGAACGTCTGAAGATCTAAAAAAGACGTCTGAAAGACGTCTTTTGATAGACGTCTTAAAGATATCTTCATTTAATGTTCTAAAGAATTTTTATAAATGCCTGATACCGCCGTTTATTTTTTTTTTAATGTTTTGATAAAATAGTGAATTTTGAAAAGTCAAAATCGAAATTAAATTCCATAATCAGCCACTTCATAGTAAGATATAATTAGGTACCATCTTATTTTGATGTAATAAAAATAACATTAATGTAGGATTGGTTGTCATAAAATTGTCTTTATTATGTTGTTATACATACCCCTGAAGAATGATAAAAATTTTAAATGTTTTCATTGTTTACTTTGTCTGTGGCAGCCGCTAAGGTTAGACGTGTTTTTATGAGCTCGGCGATTTTCGTTCGTTAAAAGAAATGGATCAAAGAATTTGTATCAAATTTTGGGTAAAAATGAAATAATGTGTGTGAAATGCCTATGGTGAGCCTGCTATGAGTAAAACAAGAGTTTATAAGTGATATATGAGTTTCCAAGATGGCCGTAAAGACGTTGAAGATGACGAACGCCCTAGACGCCCAAGCACATTAACAACCGATAAAAACATGGAAAAAGTGAAAGAAATGGTTATGAACGATCACCGAATCACAATCAGAGAAGTCGCTGATGATGTTGGCATATCGATGAAATTTTTTCGAATGTTTTGGGTATGAAACGCGTAGCAGCCAAATTTGTTACAAAATTGTTGAATTTTAAACACAATTTTTTGCCAAAAACAACAATTCCTATTCCCCAAAATAAAGAGAATCTTATAGGGTCGTTGTTTTGCAAGCATAAATTACATTAAAAGCGCATCGCTGAAAGAACTAAAGACTATCCCAAAGATCGTGTTTTAGAAGAGTTTATAGGATTAGAATAAGCGCTGGCACAAGTGCATAATATCTAATGGGAACTATTTTGAAGGCGACAACTTTAATGTAGACGAATAAATAAATACTTTTTTCAAAAAACGAAAATTCCCGTTATTTTCTGAATGTATAAGTAACGAAATATTTTCAATTCTTAAATAACTAAATGCAGATTGCAGACATCCGATGCCATTTTTGCTTCTTGTATGTTGAATTTGGGTGAATGCTATTGCAGTAATAATTACTAATCGTGGCGGTTTTTCTATTTTATGTTCCCGTTCGACGTTCAACAACTCAAGTGACAAGTAGTGTGCAGTGTTGGTTTTCGATTTTTTTGTAAATTTGGTCTCGTCTTTGTGGTTTTTCCAAAAAATAATTGATAGCCCGAGGGATACCCTGGATACCCACCTCACACTCAAGAAGGGCTTCAGACAGAAGGGTTCTACGTGCCAAGAAGTTTTGACTCTATTGATTTGAATTAATAGGCAGAAATAAATATGTAAAGATTTAATTTTTTTTTATTTTAAATAGAAGTATACGTTATTTTTAGAAGTTTTAAAAGCATTATTAGCTACATTTTAATACCTTTAAAACATTTTGGTGATGTAGCAATGCATAACCAAGACGTTTAAAATAGGTAGTCTTTAACATCTTAAAGACGTCTTAACGACGTTTAGCAACGACTCAATAATGCCGTTAAAACGACATCTTAAAGACGATGTGTTTTGTAACACTAGATATCTTAAATACGTCTTAAAGATGACTTACGTCGTAAACTGGACTTCTTAAAGATGTCATAAACGTCCGAGTCAGACATCTTTAAGATATCTTTAAGATGTATCTGTGCTATCTGGGTATGGTGTGCTATATATGTCAAGTGGCTTTATTTTGATCTTGTTAAAGCGTTAGTTTTTGGTCAAAGAGCAGAAAATGTTTGGTCTAGACCTAAGCTTAGAACTAAGAAAAAACCTTTTCTATCAGGCATTTTAATATGGTCTGCTCAAATTGTAATCGGTTACTGGTATCTGAGGGTAATAGTATCAGCCTCAAATTTCTCTATAAACAAATGCATATTGTTTCAGGAAAACGTATTTCTACTAAAAATATGTTCAAAAAAATACCTAGGCTGCAGCCTATGGGCCCGCACAGTGCTGCCAGATGAACGGATTTATCCGTTTTTTACGGATTTTCCAGGTCTAGAGAAATTGGAAACGGATTTTGAACGGATTTTCATCAAATACGGATTTTTACGGATTTTTAAGATAGCTTCATACTAATACTAAAAAAACATCATTTTTGCCCCGTTTTTTGATCATCTTTGTCACGCTTCTATTCCTCTTCCTTTTTACTATGTTAGACAGAAAAAGAAAGCGGATTGAAAAAGGATGTGTTCTTAATATAGGGTTCTTAAACGCCGAATATATGCGAAACATATGCTTTTTCATTGAGTGTGACAAAGAGAACGATAGTTTCATATCATTTGTTAAGGTTTTATAACACGTTGTTATTGCTGCCAATATATAAGCGGCGCAATGCCACCAATAGTAACGACTAACCAATACTGACTCCAGTTCAGTGCATTGAACTGCATTGTGGCAATATTTTGATCTCAAAGTCAATGTTTATTATATATCCGAATCTGTATATAAAATACTTTTTTTGAAAAATGGAAAGTGACGAGAATTATATCACTGACGCAGAGGTTCAAACTTCTGAAACTCCCCCGAAAAATTCTGAGATGTTTCGGATTTTCTTTGACGAAAGGTATGTTTTGTCACGAAAATCCCCCTTATAGAAGAAATTCTTCGAAATTTAGACAAAAACGGATTTTTACGGATTTTTCGAGGCTTCCCCCCACCCTTTCCACGAATATACGGATTATCCGACCATCTGCTCTGGCAGCACTGGGCCCGCATAACAAAGGGTCCCGCGACCACTGTCCAGTTGAATATGATTCGACGTCAATTTTTAAAATCAGGTTTTTTGTAAATAAATAGTTTAAAAGTTTGGTGATCGTAATCATTATTTATCATTTACATTTGGTTTAACTTAATGTTTTTGACCAGCCAGTAAACACGGAGCGCATACAGGAGCAAGGAAGATAACTCTAGAAGGTTCTATTGGTTCATATAGCACAAATAGTTAAATTAACGTTATGCCTGGTTATATATTTGAGTAATATTGTTAACGTTATTTTCTAATAAGTGGGGAATTAAATTATGGTTAGATTAACTTCATGTTAAGTTAATGTAACTTTTTTGTTAATTTACCTTTTGATCAAAAATGCGTTAATATTTGGTAATTTTAGGTTTTTTTACCCTTTTAAACTACTTTCTTAACTCTTTAGTTTAACTATAAAAATGAACCGGTTTAAGTTTATTTGAACTATATTATTCTAAATAGGGTTATCTATATATGACTTGTTTACAGATCTTTCAAATAAAATGTCGTCTTTGAAAATTATTCTTTAGAGATATATGTTATTAATTAAAGGTTTAGTTACCCATTTTATTTTTCTGATCAAATAGCACATAATAATTCTATATTTTAAACTCTTTGTAAAAATAATAATAAATGAGGACCCTAGATACAAGTAACATTAAAAAAAAAATGTAGTTATGTACAGAAAAATATAGTAAAGGGTACATTTTACTTGGTATCCAAGGGATATAACTGAATTAAATTGAATTGAAGAACAAAGTCACAAAACAATAAACAATTTTGACTCAAAATTACAAGTTTTCTTTTTAATTTCAACATAATTATCTCAAAACTAAACCAAATGTACTTGTTAGAATAGACAACTAATATGGCGTGTTACCAATTTACTAAAAAGTTATATTATAAGTTCAATTAAACCAATTAACCATTTTCGACCATAGGCATAAAATAATAAGCCATTAAGATAATGTGACACTGACATATTCGGTATAATAGTTTTGTTAAATTAAATAATATATTATGATAGGTATTCCTTAATTATGTATATATTTTTATATTTGGAAACATGGACTTGAATTCAACTTTGTATTCTTTTTTAATAATATAGTTGTTCATAGCAATGTTATTAAATCATGTTAAATACCACTAAGATTTATTACCTTAATAATGTTCTTTTTATTTTTATGTTCTTATATATTCATTAAGTATTGTATCGTATTTTAAAAACTGGAGTCAATCCAGTCATTTATTTTTTCCTTTATTTTGACTCAATTTAAAATGATACAGCACATGCAGTATCGGTGAGCAATCATAGGCCACGAAGTGAGTGAAGCAAAAACATTTGCAAATTTTAAGGATGCAAGCTAAGAATAATTAAGATCTTAGTCAAAAATACTCTCTAATAATTTTTTTTTTTTAATGAAATCCTAAATATTAAAATTTACCCCAATTCTGTAAAATATATCCAAACATATCATAACTAAGCATTATTAGCTTGTTTAAATTTACACAATAATTTGTTAGTAAATGTTAGTGTATAAAGCTGGATTAGATTTTGATAAAATTGTGTAAACTTGTGTGAGACAGCTTTAAGCTTTACCTAAAAGCAAAAGCTTTAGTGTTGTTTTATATTTTAGCGTTAAATCTATTTTTGTTAGTAAATATAAACCACTATATTTTCTAAAGCAATTTGTCTAAGTGCTTTAAGGAACTGTACAGTTTACCAGGATATCCAAGGTTTGTATGTTGTTGGGAAAAAATAGTCCTTTATGTTATATAATCTTTTGTATATTTATGAAATTGTTTGCGGGTGCATATAAAGTTTTTATTTGTTCTAACTGTAATCCTGTTACACAATATTTTAAGGGGTTTTAACCATTTTTTCTTTTGTTTAAACTAATAATTATTATACTAAATATTAAATATTATTATTAAAGGGTCATTTATCTTAGCGGGAGTGGGCTTATTACGTAAGGGTTGGGTCGATGTAAATGTAAATCTGCATTTAACTAGCATTTTGTATTATAAGCTTGTTTTTAAAACAAAATAAGTAATTATTAACATCACCATGCCTTTTCATCATTTATAGAATACTGTAAAATTACAAAGTAAAAATAAAAATGTTAGGTTTGTTAGTTTTTAAGTATTAATTAAAAATTAAATATTTTTAGTTGTTAGTATCGTTAATAAAACAAAATTTTGTAAATTAAAAACCTTTTTTATCTTGGTAAGGTAGCATAAGGATTCGCCAATCTGTTTAACGCCTGAGGGCTGAAATGTATAGGTAAATGTCTACCATCCAATGTTGCGCATGGTACTTTTACCCTTTGTGGTAACGATACATTATACTAAATAAAATAAAATTATAAAATAAACAAATAATAAAAAACATATTGGTTGTTAAAATTAACTTGCTCACCTTTGTTGCACATTCGAAGCAAGTTGTTACTACTTTCGAAATGACGTTCATTAAATTCTTGGTTTCTTGAATAACATTATCGACTTTTGTAAAGGTGGCAGCTTTTCCAACAGTGTGATCTTTAACAGTGAACTGCAACCTTTGCACAAAAGTCGGTACTTTATCTAAATTTTCCAGCAATTCCTTCTTATTTGAACCGCCAGGCACCTAAAACATATAAAATAAATTAGTAACAAAGTTAGTGTAGATTTCCATCATTTTAAGTTCTTTTCAAGATCAATTCACTTTTAAATCCATATTACTCTTTTTAAACAAACAAGTTTAGGATTTTTTCTTTGCATTTAAACTTAAATAAACCATTTTTTTGCATTTAGTTTTGATAATAATATTTCCTTGATGTAAGAAAATAATTATTAAGGAGTTATTGGTTATACCCACAATAATAATAAATTGTTCTTTAAAAAACCTAATGATTGTCCACTTTTTTAAATCCTAAAAATTATCTCCTTTAAAGGGGGTCATAAATTAATTTTTCTCTTTCTTGAGGCATTAAAAATAATTCTTGCATGTCTGTGTAAACAGATTTGTTGTAGGGGTTCAATGTATATACATATATATTGTTGAGTTTTCTACTGAATATGTAAACAATTTTACAACCCCTTATTAAAAACTACCTTTTTTGGAGATAAAAATCTTTACCTTCGTTATTTAAAAAATTGTAAAAAAATGCTGCATTTGTATTTTTCTTGCTGTATACTGTGTCATCACAGAACTGTTTCTTTTTAATGCCCAAAAACCATCCCCGAGGGGCAAGGGTTAAATGCGTTTTTTAACCCTTTCCGCACTTAACACATGCATTAGATATTTTTTCGTAGTAGGTACGACAGATGCCGATTTTTTATAAATTTAACCCTTATGACCAAGCTGTTTTTGGATGCGAAAAGGGGATAAAAATGTTGCATTCAACACTTGCCTTTCACAGGTGGTTTTGGGAATTAAAAATTTAAAAAATTCTGCAATGACACAGAAAAAAATACAGATACAAAAATGTTTTTCACAATATTTAAAATACTTAAAGGAAATATAGATTATCCTAAAATGTATCCCACAATGGGAGTAGTTTTTAATGAGGAGTGGAAAGAGGTTTATTAAATTGTCTATATACTTAGTAGACAACTCACAACATATACATGCGACCCTTTATAGAGTGACAAACTTAACTTTTGGCGAGCTTTTTTTTTCAAGAACACTATATGGAAAACAACCAGAATTACTGTACTATAGGGATTACCCGAGTCAAAATTTAAATCGTAATTTAAACCTACTTTGACCTACCAAAAATGATTTAAAACCTGTTCAGTCTGTTTACTCCAATTTAGCACTAGAACAACCGAATTTATCTTCATTTGAACCGATTTAAACCTCTAATAAAATTTTTGGTTTAAATAAACGTATTTAGAACCGAAAAATCGGGAAAATGGACTTATCTGCCATGTTTTAGGTCATAAGTTGGTTATCTTTAGGCGAATATAAAACTGTTTAAGACGGAAATTGTCAGACTTAAGGTTTAAATTACGATCTTAATTTTGACTCGGGTCCCGAGTCAAAATTTAAATCGTAACTTAAACCTACTTTGACCTACCAAAACTGATTTAAAACCTGTTCAGTCTATTTACTCCAATTTAGCACTAGAACAACCGAATTAATCTTCATTTGAACCGATTTAAACCGTTTTAAACCTCTAATAAAATTTTTGGTTTAAATTTAAACGTAATTAGAACTGAAAAATCGGGAAAATGGACTTATCTGCCATGTTTTAGGTTATAAGTTGGTTATCTTTAGGCGAATATAAAACCGTTTTAGACGGAAATTGTCAGACTTAAGGTTTAAATTACGATCTTAATTTTGACTCGGGGTATTATAGTACTTTAAAGAAGGAAGTTAATATTGTTAAAGATTTAATATTAAAAATTAAGACTGTGAAAGATGTTTTTAGGTTTAGTGGAAATTTCAGTAGTCTCTAATTTTAATACACTTGCTTTAAAATCTCTTACAATTTCTTTCAAAAATAAACAATGAGCTTTTTAAAAATTACCTGATAACTGAATTGTCTTATGACTTTGTACAATCTGTTCGCTTCTTCTGCAAAATATTCGGCTTGCGTAAATAAATCCTGAGTAGTTTTCAAATCCCCTTCGCCTTTGGTAAACTGGTACATAGAGAATGCCATTGCTGACATATTTTTAGCTCTTTTAACGATATCATTGTTCTCCTAAAATACATAACATTTTATATAATAAACTATAATCAATGTAAAACTTAATTAAAAATCTATTTTGTCTTTTTATGATTCATGAAAAGAATATGTATTGTTTTATTTTTTACCATAACAACTGATTAAAGATACAACAAAATAAAAAATGTAATTTAATTAAGTTTTATCTTGTCGCCTATACCATATATTATTTTTACAAAGTGCTTTCTAGATTAATTATCCAACTTTATAAATGCACAAACCGTTATGTTGATAAAAGTTCCTTCCGACCTTATAATCAAAATTTATAAGTTGTTTTTGGAAATCTGTTTATGCTGTTGTTGCCAAAACTGAACACTTATTAGTAAGTTTTAGAAACTAAATAAAAAGGTAAACCAGTTTGTCTGGTTTAATTTTCTGTGAATGCTGCTGGATCGATCTCGATAAAGATCTACCATAAAGATACCAAGTTTTGGTTTTAATTTTGGTCTTGCTGACTGGAAGTCCGCTGAGTTCTTGGACAAATGCCTGTTGGCAACAACTTCGAATAAGAAGGAAACATAAATTTATTGTATGAATTTCTATAGACAAAATTTATAAGCTTTTGAATACATAACTCCCACTATGAGATGTTTTAAATAGGTCAAGTTTATTTAGATTTAAGTTGTGATTTATTGTTTTATTATTAAAATAAATACCTATAAAATAAATTATCAATCCAAAGATTTCAGTTATTATTGTTCAAATTTAGTTTGGGGTGGGTTGTTACTTAAAATATAAGAAAACTTATAACAGTATAACTTTAATTCTAGTTCCTTTATTAAAAGGAAAAGTTATGTTTTAATAATTATTTTCTGTAGAAATAATTTTCCAAAAAATAAAGACTGCCAGATTGTTTTTTATATCTTTACATATTATATGTTGAGCGTTCCTAAAAAATCAGACATATTCATATAAAGTATAGAAGCACAGAACTGTTTTGATTAAACTTTCAATATTTAGGCTTTGGTTACTATAAGATACGTCAATTTTAACAGAAAATGTACATGTCTGATTTTGCATAAACGCTTTTTATATTAAAATTTTATCATAGCAGTTTTCAAATAATAAAACAAATTTAAAAAGGGTATATGAGAAATTTTTAGTTAGAGAAAGTTAAAAAAGTCCGATGAGTACTTTTTAAAACTACAGCGCTCGTTAATAATGCTTTGTAATTTAAATAACCGTTTTTTAATTAAAACGGCCAATTCATTTTTTTCTGTTTTTTAAAGTACTATCGATTCCATAATCAGTAAAATAATAACAAAACAAGATATAATTACATGTTATATATATTTGAGTTATAAACTTATGACAAAAAATACAAATATTTCAAAGGTTGACCTCCCATCATTTAAATGAAAAAAGCTAAAAAATATATTTTTGTGAAAAACCAAATTTCCTCTTGGTTATTGCTGCATGTTTATTTGATAGTGATTTTTTTAAATTTAAATAAAATAAAAATGTAGGTACCATCTTTTAGGCAGGGTTAAACGACATAAAATAAAAAATATTTTAAAATTATTTATACGTTATAAAGAATAATTGTTTATGACCAACATAAAAATTCAATTTGGGAAATAATAGACTTGGCATGTCATAATGTATTAATTTTATATATTATATTTACATGATAATGGAAAATAAAGATTAACCTTTTTTATTTGTTTTTATTAAATATTTTTAAATATTACTGAAATATTGTTAAATAACATATTTCATTATGAAATATGTTATTTAGAAATGAAATTTTGCATGAAATTTTCATGCAACCAAACTTAACATTATTTTTAATAAAAACGAGTGTATTAAAAGTTGTTTTATTTGTAATTATATGCACAGAAACGTTGATTTATTTATATCAACTGATTTACGCATATCCACTAATTTATTTTTGAACCAATTTGGTAACAGCAAATTTTAAACGACATTAAAGATTTTTAGGTCATCTAACATATACTTAAAAATGTGTTTATTAAGAGTAATACATCTTTAAAATGTATTATTAAATATACACATAAATACATTTATAAACCTTATTATTGACAAAAACTTGGTTTTGAAGAGGATTGCGGCAATATAAAACACACAATTGGGTTATGTTCGCAGTTTGCAATGTGTTTTGTTAATTTGCATTAGAAGGTATGAAAAACGAAAATTACGGCTTAAAGCCTCTAAAAAGAACAAAGAAATTTTTGTTGATGTTGGTGGACATTTTATTTAATTTTTTGTGCTTGTAAAATATTAATTAGGTAATTAGGTATATTATAATTTTAATAATTATATTATAGTTATAGGAATACTAGACCTGTTTCTAAAAGGCAATGCTCTTTTACCTATTCTTTTACTAATAACACCATTTTGAGTATTTAGGCAAATGTTTTGAAAAATAAATGCAATGATGCCGAAGTCATCGAGAAGGAAAAAAGACATTTAAAATTTGTGACAAGAATATAAAAAAAATAGGAAACAACCTCTAGAGGATAACATATGTTAGTTAATGCTTAATATACATAAATTATGGCTTCAGAATAAACTTTTTTAATCAAAAGGAGGGAGCTATACTCAAAAAATGCATGTCCAGACAAATTGTGCTAAAAAATGGGTGGGAGGTGGAGTCTCGAAACTGTTTAGCATGCATATAGTTTACCCTTGCCTGCCCCCTGAACAAAATCTTGGCTACACCCTAGAAATGGGGGAAGAATCTCTAATTTTCTAAAAGGTTAAATTAAACCCAATGAAAAAATTTTGGCAAGCCTTATACACTTTGTTTTTTAAATAATTTATATTGAAAAATACAGGTACACTAATTTTAAAAACTTATACTTTTATAAAGCAAATTTTAAAATTTAATTGTTGAAGTTCTAGTCCAATTTTTTTTACCATGTGTATTTTATTTTAAAAATAAAAATATTGTTTTAGAGCATATTGTTAATTATTTGTAAAATAAATATTACAAATGATAAAAACAATTTGAACCAAAAATATAAAAATATAGTTTCATACTCTGTGCCTGTTTTTGATTTCTAGCAAAACATTTTTTTACCTACAGGGTGTATTTTTTATTTTTCATAAAATGCCTTTTAAACTTGTATTATTGGCAAAACTGTTACCTAATAATATTATAATATGTATATTCAATTTTAAATACCAATGTTGCCCTTTTGTCCCTTCATTTAATTTTCTTCTATATTTAATAGTATATTTCTGGGCCCAAAAATAAATAGAGTGTGTATTTCCTTTAAGAAAGAAAGTCCCCTCTACCTTGTTAAGCCCTTTACCCAAAACCTACTGTTTCTATTTATAAGAACAAGCACCTAATTTAAAAATTTAAAAGCAGAAAATAAGTTAAACTTGGTATGTAATTAGTATTTATAAAATAAGACAAATATTTTTTAAACACAATTTTGGTTTTATTTTATAATTTTTATTATTTTTAAATAGTTTTTTTTTAATTATCTAGGTATTATATTAAAAAGTAAAAATTTATGTTTTGTAATTTAAAAAAATAAATCAATAAATATTTTCACCCAAGTTCAATGTTAGGGGTAATTATTTTACAAGGAAACTAAGGAAAGTTATAAATCAATTGATTTCAAGTATTCCGCTTTTTAATAAGACAAAAAAAGAACAAAGATATTTGAAATAATTAACATGGTAGTAATTTTTTTCTTAAAAAATGTCATTTTTTAATTACATCTTTGTTATAGGTACCTTCAGAACGACATATAAATTATATCAACCGATTTACATTTTAGATGATTTTATTTGCCAAAAAATAAATCTAGCCAACCATGACCTATATTAGCGAAATTATTTTCCATGGTTAAAATCAAATGCCACAAATGCTAAATAAATCTTGATGAAATTTTAATTTTTTGTGTCAAAATGTCAATGTATAGAAATCGACTTTTTTTAGGGAAAATATAAATATTAAAATAATTTTTAAAGAAATATACTGCGTTGCCATGGCATGCATGTCATGCAAAAACCTATATTCACTGATATGATAAATCAGTTGATATAGGTAAATAAATCAACGTTTCTGCATACGGCCCTAAGTTTTTAAAATATAAAATTTCTTATTCTTACTGGTTTGACTACTCCTGCATAAACCACGAATTTAATTAAACCAACTAATTTAAATCAATTCTGGTATTTTAGAAAACATTGTTTTTACTACATATAGTAATATAACTGTATACAGTGTGTCCAAGGATTCTTGTAAAAATATTTATTTTTAATTTTTCGAGGAAAAGTCATTCTTCATTTTGTTGTACAGGGTGAGCAAAAATACAGATTTTAAAAATTAAAATTTTTTAAATATTTTTTTGGTAAGGAAAAATCAAAAAGTCAAAGTTTTTTCATTATGTGGATATAAAAACAACTTTGTTGTAAAGTTTCACGAAATTTAATAAATTTTGACAATTGTTTCGCTACACAGTAGCTACTTCAGAATGTATTAATATATTAATACATTCTGTGTAGCGAAACAATTGTCAAAATTAAATAAATTTCGTGAAACTTTACAACAAAGTTCTTTTTATATCCACATATTAATTATGGAGTTTCATCAAGTAAAGGTTGAAACAATTAATAAGTTTTTTCATATGAGTTTTTGATACAAAGATATTTAATATTCAAAATTAAAGATATTAGTTTTCAAATTTTAACAAATAATTGTAGACATTGTAGACATGTCAGAACAAATAGAAAAAAAATAATTTAACTAAATTTATAAATTTTAAACATACCTCTGAGATCTGAGAGTTCGAGTTACTCTCTTGCCATTTATCAGTTTCTGCGTCCATCTCGCTGGTTATCAGTTTCATTTCCAGCCCAGACTTGGCTATTTTTTCTTGCTCGTCCACGTCTAACCTAACAGATTTCAGCGGCTTCGAAGTTGTACCATGTTTCTGCAAAAATATAACAAAAACTTAAAAATGTTTTAAAAACTAACCTAATTTAATTTAAAATTTATTTATTGTCAATTAAAAACTACACTAAATTCAGCGAAAGCTCATCGCAACAAACTTACTCAGCTAAAAGGATCCTTCGCTAAACGGCTGAAGAAATGTGACTAAGTGGTAAAGAATAAAATCAATCCTTTTAAGGATTCTATTTCTATTATTCGGCCCCGTTCGGATTAAATCGCCAAGAAGATGACAAAAAGGACCCGCGAAAATACATCGAATTGAATAAAATCCATAATTCTGCTTTAATAAATTATAGTTTCAATTTGATTTCGTAAACAAATGAGTAATTCGGTCAAATGAAACAAAGAGCTTTATATAATATAAGGTAAAATCGATAAAAACAAACTTGACATTTACATTAATTTGCGAAATAAACTGACATCTCTTCACAGTATTCTTGGAATTTATAAATTTAAAACAAATAAATTAAACGAATTCCAATAAATACGTAAATTTATTTATACAATATTCGTTTATGTTATACATGTTTAATGCATGAAATGAAAACCAAAACATGTTTAATTAATACTTTGATATGTAACAAGTTTTATAAACGCCATTTAATAATAATAATAATAATAACTTTATTGACGGTATTAAACCACTTACAAAAAAATACATTCAAATGTCTACAATTAGGATGGATAACAATTAATTCTATAATTACATTGTTTCTTGAATACGTCCAATGAGCAATTAAAAAAGTCCAAATCAAGATTGTTTGCATCAAAGCATATTCTGCTTATAGGCATGAATTTAGCATATTCTGTTCTGTACTTTTTTATGTGAAATAATAATGTGTTACGCGTTCGTCTTATCGGGGTATTAAAATTAATTTGCCCTAACAAGTCGGGGCATTTTATATAGTTATTAAGCAATTTAAATAAAAAAACAACACCTATTTCTGTTCTCCTACGACTTATTCAGTTGAATTACTAGTTTAATTATGCACGGGCATAGCTTGTTGAGCGAGTTTAATAAAAGAGTGCTTAAAAAGTTATTAAAACTTATATTTTTTTAGAATTTAGAGCCAATATTATTTGACAGCGGTTTTTACAATGTTACATCTGTCAAGTGGTTTTAACCTCACTTTATTTTAAAAATTCCGAACGAGCGGACAGGCGAAGGAAGTATTTTATCGAGGGAGTAATTGCAATTCCACCCGAGAAAAATACTAATTTGATACACTGTTGCAAATTTCATGTATATAATGGTAGCCATTATAACCGCCCCGCCTTACAATAGAAATAATGAACTTATTATTTACGTTGCTAGGCAGCGATTGGCCGATTTCAATATTCAGTTTGATTTGATCTAAACGGTTTATAAATTGCGAAAAAGTGAGCTTGGAACTGACTAATAGTTGTCAAATTTTTTTATATAGACGATGGGCGACTATATTGATCTTTAAAATTAAGCGAAAGTGAGGTTATAATAAATTTTGTTAGTAATAAAAATTACTTTATTGGAGTAGCATACTCGTACCCTCTAGAGTCTGCGAATTATTTATTTTAATAATGTACGTCTCTTGACTAGCGGATCGAGACGCAAACCTTATCATCGTTAATATTAGCCTGCATTAACTTCCATATAATAATATATTATAAAACACGGCTTGTCAATGTAGGATTATACAGGGTGTCCGGAAAAAGGAGGTCAATCCTTTAACCATATATTCCTTGAGTTAAAACAATAAGACTTTCATAATACCATTTTTCAATTTAGAGCTTCATGTTCGATATACAGGGCGACAAAGTTTGAAATTTAAAACAGATTTTTTTTAATAATTCGAGTAATTAATAAGGTATTAAGTTCAAATTTGGTACACTATTTCAACATAAATAGTTACATCTTTTGAGATCAACAAAACAAAAAACAAATGTCAAATAATCAAAATAGGGGGGGTCCAGTACTCACTGACCCCCCTATTTTTTAGTACGGGCGCCAGTGACTTCCAAACGGTATTTTTTCAGGTAATCATTTAGTGTTGAACATTTTTTGTCTCTTATAAAATTTTGATGAAATGATTTGTTTTAGAGATAATTTGTAAAGTATTGGTCCTTGATTGATGCCCACGCGGCTTATGGCAATCTCATAATTTTCAAATGTAGTACTGGACCACCCTATTTTGATTATTTGACAATTGTTTTTTGTTTTGTTGTCCTAAAAAGATGTAATAATTGTCAAATAATCAAAATAGGGTGGTCCAGTAGTACATTTGAAAATTATGAGATTGCCATAAGCCGCCTGGGCATCAATCAAGGACCAATACTTTACAAATTATCTCTAAAACAAAGCATTTCATCAAATTTTTGAAGGAGACAAAAAATGTTTAACACTAAATGATTACCTGAAAAAATACCATTTGGAAGTCACTGGCGCCCGTACTAAAAAATAGGGGGGGTCAGTGAGTACTGGACCCCCCCTATTTTGATTATTTGACATTTGTTTTTTGTTTTGTTGATCTCAAAAGATGTAACTATTTATGTTGAAATAGTGTACCAAATTTGAACTTAATACCTTATTAATTACTCGAATTATTAAAAAAAAATTGTTTTAAATTTCAAACTTTGTCGCCCTGTATATCGAACATGAAGCTCTAAATTGAAAAATGGTATTATGAAAGTCTTATTGTTTTAACTCAAGGAATATATGGTTAAAGGATTGACCTCCTTTTTCCGGACACCCTGTATAAAATAATTAATACAAATATATATATACACAGTTATTTAAAAATGTATACCAGATTAAAAAGTTTTAAAGCATTATTGATGACAACATTTAATGTTGTATTAAATACATAATTTATACAATGACTTAGTTTACAATCATACCACATGAGAGATTCCTACGGATCTCATTTGTCAAAAGTATAACATAATGGTAACATTGTATTTATTTAAACCAGAACCTCAAAATGTCAAATTTTGTAGATACGTTTTATTAGCAGTGGGCCATACCTACATATATATTTTGACTACACGAAAAAAAGTGAATTTTTAAATTTAGTTACCTAAAACTGATTACTTTGTAACGCTTGTTTTTTATCATTCAAACTGAATTATCAACACCAATACGATTAATAAGAACAATGCGGGCAGAAAGACCTCGGTCATTAGCCATTTGGTTTATTCCAATAAAGATATTTACTACTACTAAGAACAATGCTTACGTTTTGTTAAATAATAGAATATTGCACAAATTTTAAACTATATCCTATCACTCATTTAGTGAAAAGATTTATGGTCAAAAAGGTCAAGAAGCAAATCTAACAAAAACTCCATTTTTGTCAAATATGTCGAACTTCAACGTCAAAAATCAATACAAACGTATGAAATAACTCCAATTTTTCTTCCAATGTTGTAGAAAAGTTAATAAAGGACATTTTAATGTTTAACCTTCACGTTCATTTTCACATTCACAAAAATTGCAAACTTGTCAAAAATTATATTGTTGTTCAAAAATTCAATTTTATTAACTTTTTACGTATAATATCGTCGTTTTAATTTGTTTCAAATCATATTATTAAATAACACTATCTAACAAAATTTGATTTTTGTTTTGTTTATTGGATTTTTTTGTTAAATTATCAATATTTGTGTGCCAAAAAACTATTTTAACTTAATTTAAAAAATGTAGTGATAATTTTTTATTTTTTTAAGGGGTATTTATATAATATAATCAAACCCAGTTTTATAAAAAACAAAAAAAATATTGACTAGAAATGGCAAGAAATTCAACTTTTCTTAAGATAGATTTTAAATCTTGCCTCAAAAATGAATTTTTTTTTTCTTTTATATGATGCATTTTCTTCCCGAAGTAGATTCCAAACATAGTCACCCATCATTGTCGCATCCCACCTTCCTTGTTTTCACTTTTCCATTGCCCGAATATCTTGATGAAATCTTTCTTCATGTTCTTCGCTGACATCTCCCAGATTTTCACGGAAAAAGTCAAGATGCGAATGCAAATAGTGTACGTACTTTCAACGACATGCGGCATCCCATTTCTTTAAAACTTCCTAATGAAACTTTGACAAGGTCAGTATAATTTTCACTTTTGTGGTTACCAAGGAAACCTTTCATTTAAAATCTCACGTTAACTTTTGAGTTTAAAAAATATGTATTATAATCCAATTTTTGTTAAAAAAAAATATTCATTTTCTTTTACAGGTTGTTCATAAAGAAAGTTTAATGGCCAAAATCTTACGTAATGTCACCAAATCTCACCAAGGAAGGGAGGGGTCTAAATTATCAGAAAAATGCCTCACGTAATTAATGACTGTCCCCTAATGACACTCAAAGCCATCAACACGATCTGACGGCTGTCGTTAAAAATTTGACAGTTTGAAAAAGCAAATGTATGTTACGTAATCGGGGGCCTGGCCTACTACGATTTGTGTAATAAAATCCAGATAAACAAATATCATGTTACATAGTCTAATTGATACACCTTTATTCAGTATTTTTTATATGTGGTTTATTAGCACATTAGACAATTTTGCAATTTTTGTTTTAAATGCGAAATTTCGAGTCTAAATATGTCAAAATGTTGGTTAATAAATTTCCTTAAACCTAGGGAGGTTATCTCCTACGGTTGTATTGATTTTCGAAGTTAAAGTTTGACATAGATGACGAAAATGAGGTTTTCGTTAGATTTGCTTCTTAACCCTTTCGAACATATTTTTTCAATGAATGGGTCAAACAGCCCAGGATATAGATTAAAATTTGCTAAATATTTTATTCTTTAATAAAAAGTAAGAAATATGTTTTTTGTGTATTGGTATTGATAATTTAGTTTAATTTTCTGAAGTTTTTTGACGTTTTATATACGTTTTTTATACTTCGAGTTCTAATTGATCAATTTGACCAAACAAGCACTTAAATCAAGGGTAATTAAGCCCTCTACAACTTTCTCTTGTATAGTTTTGGTATAAGCTTAGTAGTTCGATACTGGCGATTTTATGAAGTTGAAAAAAATCAAGGTCGAAAATTTAAATATCTTTCTGGGAAAGATATATATCGAAAAGATAAGTCCAGTTTGATTTATTTTACGTATAGATTATGCTTAAAGGAAAAAAATAAGCTGCTGTTGATAAAAATCCATGGTTAAATGGTGAAGATATGAATTTTTCAGTGGAAGACCAAAATTCAGTTTTTAGAGAATTTGGATTATATACAATTTAATATTGAACATTGATTTTTATTTTAAACATTAAATATTTAAATTAAATTATATATTGAATATTGAACAATAAATATTGAACATTGAAGATATTGTTTTTTTATTTTGTTGTTTGTGGGTTTAAAAAAATTCTGGCTCCTTTGTTTTTTTGTTGCTTTCGTATTCCGTTTCTCGTATGAGGGATCAAATGTAATCACCCATCATGGCTGCATTCCAGAATCCGTGATACCGCAGCTCCATAGCCTTCATTTGCTCGTGAAAACGTTCTCCGTGCTCATCACTTACGTCGCGACGCGTCGCCCAGATTGTCCAGGTTATTTACGCACTCTCTACTTGTTTTACTCATTTACTTTTTATTAACTAAATAAAATCATGATAAAAATACCTTGTTGATATATCATAAAATAGCAGTAAAATGTCACTAGGTATGCCAACACTTTACTTAGGTTTTTATTAAAGAATAAAAATATTACCGAATAAAAGAAAAAAATAAAAGAAAAATCGTCAAAAAGCTGAATTTTGGTCTTCCACTAAAAAATTCATAACTTCGCCATTTTTTCATGTATTTTTATCAACATTAGCTTGTTTTTTTTTGTAAAAATGTCAGATTCACGAAAAAAAATCAAACTAGAGTTATCTGTTTGATTTAAACCTTTCCCAGGACGATATGTAAATTTTCGACCTCAATTTTTGCTATAAAAACGAATATTTTAAGTTATTAAAATCGCTAGGTTCAAAATACTTATTCGATATCAAAAGTATGTAAAAGAAGTTTTAGAGCGCTTAAATACCTTCAATTTAAGGGCTTGTTTGACCAAATCGATCAATTAGATTTCAAGCTATACTCAAAAACGTTAAAACACCTCCGAAAATTGAAAAAAACAATTGAAAATTCATACTTCAAAAATGCTTCCATAAAAAGAAATTGAGTGTGATTTTGGTGTTTAGTGGGTCAAAATACATGGAAAAATTATAATGGGATATAGTGGGCAGATTTTTTTTTTCGATTTTGTAAACTAGTGTAATTTTAAAACATTTATTTCTTACCCCGGGTCTAGGAAGAGACATGTACACCTGCTTTTCAGGCTTGGCGTTACTTGCATCCAAAACATCTTTAACTATCGTCGTTACGTCCGATACAAGCCACTGATACATGTCGGCGAAGACCTCCAAGTTTTCCTGGGCGATTTTGCTGTTCGGAAACGTCGAAAGGGATTTAGCAGCGGTCACAACTTGCGGTCCATATACCCGCAAATTGATTTCGGTGAATTTTGCTGATACTTGCAAAGTTTCCGAAACGGCCACGTGACGTAGCAATTTGCAGACCTAGAGTTGAAAATTGAAAATGCATTAAAGATACATACATACATACAATTTAAACGCTATATAAACATAAAATGCATATATCAACAAGAAAATTAGTTCCACCTAAATGTCCTTTGAATTAAAACAAACATAAATTATAATAAAGCTATATTTGCTATTTGTTCAATGCAGCCAGATTTATACCGTGTCGGCAATTTCGCTATTTCCCATGTGCAATGAGTAAAAGGAAAACAAATATAGTTTCCAGCATAGCTCGATACTGACAAATCCGCGTACGTCTCACACCAAATTAAATGGGTGCATATACACTGTTTAAAATATCTGTGGTGTAAAGAGTAATCTTAAAATGGTGTAAACATCCAACACCAAGTGGTGTTAATATTTCTAAACACCATGAATTATGGTTGAAAATGTTATTTACAGCAAACACCAAAACGGTGTTTATCTAAAAATATTTGAGAAGTGCACCTACTCAGAAAAAAAGGAATAGTTCATTTAACTATATTAATTTATTTGACCCATAAGTATTTATTTAAATCAACTGTGGGAAGGTTAATATAAACAAATATTAGTTTGACGGTACTAAACCAGATGGTTATTTTTTTTTTTAATTGGTTAAATTAACCCAGAAAACTTTAGTGAAACCAACCCGCTGTATGGTTCAGTTTACTAAATATCTTGTTTATAAAATAAGAGTTACTTCAACCTAAAGCACTCTGTTAAAACGATTAAAACAATTTGCCGTGCATTCGTGGTTGCATAGTATGTACCGATCACGGCAAAGGCGGTGTGGATTACGTGATATTCTTAAATCTCGCCTCTGTTGACTTACATGAAGAGTATATAAGCTCAGGGAGTCCTTTGCTTTGATGTGACACTACCAGTTGTTCGATACTAAATAGACTTTAAATAGATTGAAACAGCTGTCAATACTTGAAGTATTTGAAGTTGGTAAAACGCACTAAAAACATTATCTCTAGCGAGTTGAAGGTTCAATTTTCTGGAATAATACCACTGGTAATATACTAGTAATGCGTCAAGGAATTTTCTGTTTACTTTTTTTTTCCTTTTTTTCCTTGTAGTCTCCTGACAAGGAGTTCAATTTACACCAGGTAAAATTTATTTTAATCTGTGTGAAAGTTAAATTTACACTATTTTAGTATTTGAATTTACACTGGACCAACGAACCATATTTAACAAAAACCATTTTGGTGTGTATTGATATAGACCATGTATGGTGTTAATTTGGTGTTAAAATGGTCATGAAATTTTGAACAGTGTAGGAAATTACTGAATTTCCGACACATAAGGTAATATAATAGTTAATAGTTTATTTTAATTTTTATAGATAAAAATTTAATTTTTTATTTTTGGTTATTCAAAAAAGGATTTACAAATAATATAAAACATTGGAAAGTATAATCAATATGTTTTAATTCCTTCTCAATAATTTTTTTATATCCTGGTTAATTTATTTATTCATAAAATATTTTTTATTATTTATTTAGTTACTTTACATTTTCCTACAAAATACCAAGCTAACTATATTTGGTACCATCTATAAGATTTTTATTTCCATTTTAAATTAAAAATCCGTTTTTCTTTCTTTTAATATCATTTTTAAAATTAAATAAAATTAAATTTGTTGTTAATAATTATTAATTGTTGTATAAATTCTTTACATGTAGGTTAAAATGTACCGGAATTAATGTTAATTATTTCAATACGTACAAATGTTCTTATTTTTGTAGCGCTTTTAAGGATTATTTAAAAAAAAACTATATAGTTACTATTTAAAATATGTTTCGATATAGTTGAAAATGCGACAAAAAATCTTTGTAGGATTAGAAAATATAATAAAAAATAAATACAAAAATTAAAACGATATTTTCAAAAATAAAATGTCTGATTATCTTTATTTTGATTCAATCTTATTAGGTATATTTATGTATTTATGTGATGGGGTTCCATAAATTAAAATATGATACGCCACTGGGAAAAATATTTGTTGTTAATCTTTTTTTTAATTTCCATTTTTTTTATTTTTCGCATGCGTTTTATTTGTATTTCATTTTGGTTTCCTGTACATTTATTTATCTTGTGTAAATGTGTAAAAATTTCTAAATATTAAAAAAATGAGATACCAATAAAAAATTAAAGGTACAGAACCCTACGGTTTATGAAAATGCTCGAAGAAAGAAGTACCTTATTTGATTTTGTAATAAAAAATATTTTTTTTTTACGTTTTACGAACAAAAATCATTCCTCATAAAAACTCTTGCTTGTTTAAAAAATTAGGTTTGTATAAAAAAAAAATCAAATGTACAGGGGACTCAGAAATTAAGAAACCATAAAAATAGGTATAAAAATAGAGAAATAGGTACTCTGCGTAAAACTGAGTTCAGATTCAGAAGGAAAACATACAAATAAATATTATGGCATTATTCATGACGCAGACCATTTTTTGTGAGCCTGTGAAATAAATAAATAAAATTATATGTTAAAATAATAAACATTTATTTCGTATTTAGACTTTAATTTAAATTGTAAATTACTTTTTCTTATAAAAATTTACCATAAAATAATTGATAAAGGAAATTTATGTTTTAATAACCCTTTTTGGAAATCTTATTATTACAATAAACAGAAATTTTTATATAATAAACTCTTTTTTATCTTTCTTTTCTAAAGCATTCTCTTCTGAGCACCCTGTGAATTTGGTTGAAATCGTTTTTATGCAAATCTCGTTTTTTAAATAAAACCACATGAGTAAAAGAGCATTATAAAAAGTTATTTCTATTGGCAACCTGATCCGGGTTTTTTATGGGCCTGTGTTATTATTATTGTAGCTAAAATCTTCTAGTTTTCGAAAGTTTATGTTACACCCAGTATTCTTAACTTTTTAACCTTTTAAAATATAAAAATAAAAATTTGTCACCGTTCGTTATAGGTTTTATTAGAAAATATTGAAAATACTTGTATTTACATTTATATTTTTAAGGGAACAATTTTATTTTATTAATTTGTTGTTTAAATGCTATTATAAATATAAAAAATAAATAAAAAATAATTATGTAAAATGTATAGGTACAGAAAATGTCTTAAAATAAAACATGGATACAAAAATTATTTGGCATTTGGGTATTTCCGCGAAACCTTACCGAACAATGACAAAAAATCAGATGTGTTATTTAACAAAATAAAAACTATACCCCCCGCCCACCCAACTAATCCCTTGTCTATGTACCTGAAGTTAAGTAGTTTAATTGCGACGTAATTTATAACCTTAAAATATTCGTACATTGTGATGCTAAGAAGCTAACATTAAGAATAAACAAGGAAGAGTTTCAATACTCGATAAAAAGTTCAAATGTCGCACCCGATAGATTGTGAGAAAATTTTAGAAAAAAAAGTATACAATATTTGTGCATTTAAAATACGTGCTTGTTTGATGTTAGGTACTATTCAAGTTTTATAAAAAAAATTAATTACTATATGCTTTAATCCAAAATTTTCCAGTATCAACTTTAGAAGCCAACTGGTCGCATTTGCCAATTTTCTAGTTAATAACTTTTTTGTTTTAAAAATTATATAATTTGTAATAAGATATCTTCTATTGAGAGGCTTATTTTTTGTTAAGATCAGTAAATAATTAATATGAAATGTAAGACATCCTGGGAATACAAAATTTGAACATCTCTATAGAGATTTATTTAAAAAACACTTGTTTTCTTACTTCCAAAATATGATCAATGGAATCTTGAAAGGCATTAGAGGTATGGTGAAGTCTATCGATTTCGGACATAAGCGACTGTTGTCTGATGGCCGTGACCATTTCCAGTCCCTGTTTGGTGGCCGTGCTTAAATCTTGAGCTTGGTGTATGGCAGCGTTCGCTAGGTGTTTCGACAAATCTCTTGCCGAGTTTATGCAGTCTTGTACGGAGTTTTCGATATCAGGACAGTTCGCAGATCCTTCAAATCCCATTCGCAACTAAAACATATGATAGATTTTTTAAAATGTTATCAAAATGTACATAATAATTCATTTTTGATGGATTTTTATTGAACGACAATTGTTTTAATCCGACATAAAAATTGTTTTAAAAACATACCAAAAACTTCGATGGGCAGTTATGATAGAGATGCAAGATTATAATCAATAATTATTGATATAAGATTACGATAACGATTACGATTCTACAATCTACATCCTATAATTTTTCTAATATGATTGCAAAGTATATATTATTACATGAAAATTGACAAATATTACATGAAAATTGACAAAACGCATATTTTACACTATTATGTTTGAGGAATAAATAAGTGGGCTTTGGAATAAGTAAAAGATTGACAGATTGAAAATTAAATGAATTTGATATTATTGCTTTCAAGATACTTTTGTAGTTAAAGTGAATTTGTTAGTTATGTAAAAATGCCTTTTATAAATTATTCTTTACATCAATTGTCCGATATGCTCTTAGCTTATGATGAAGCGAGGCAAAATGCACACGAAGCAGTAAGAATTTATCATAGAAAATTTCCTCAAGGACGAATTCCGAATTTACTTCGTCGCTTAAGGCAAACTGGTTCCCTAAAACCAGCCAAATTTAATTCTGGATTTTTATTTTTGGGGTCATCTAAAGTAAATTGTGTATAAAACGCCTGTTCATACAAGAGATGAACTAATGCAACGAATACACGAAGGATTTCAAACAATTAAAAAAAATCGCCATGTTTGTAACAGAGTACGAAAGTCCTTACGTCATAGGCTACGTGCCTGCAATGAAGCTGGTGGTGGTCATTTGTATCATTATCTTTAGTTAATATTTTAGAAGTAAGTCAATTGTCTATTTAAGGGTTCAAACAATAAATGTTCATAAAAAAGGCTTGATTTATCAAAAAATAACAAGAGGCAGTTTTTGTTTAGTTGAAATCATTTTTTAAAAGATCAAATATGGAAAAAAGTATAAAATATGAGTTTTGTCAATTTTCATGTAATAATGTGGTTTTTATTTTTTCTTTCGAAAACGAGGTATTATATAGTTAAAGAAAAATTAGCTCTATTACTATAAATAACTTTGCCAAATTTCAACAGAATCGGCCAAAGAATATTTAAGATATTTAAAAAAAGCCGTTTTTTAAAAAAATATTTAACACCCTGTATCTTAAAAACTAAGCATTTTCAGACCCACGTTTATATGACTTTTTTTTCTTATTTTTGGATGATGAATCTCCAGCCGAGCGTTGGCGCATATTTTTTTAAACACCCTGTATGTGTAATATAACGGCATAATAAATACACAGCGTTGTCGAGGTTTTTAAACTTATATGCGGAATAACTTGTCAAAATTATATTTTTTTATCATTAAAATATTGGAAAAATCTGTATATAATAGAGAGAACGGACTTTGCACTTAAAATAGATAAAATACAATGTTTTAAATATTTTATCGTCAGCGTTTTATAATGTAAGTTTTATTATTGTTAACGCTTACTATTATTACTGTAAAAATAATTTAGACCAATCAGGTGGAGTTTTGTACGTCCTCGTCTGTAAAATGCCCGTTAGGACCAATCAAAAAATTCGAAAACTGCCGACAGCTCTAAAGAAATCTACCCTCACTTTATACTTTTAATAACTGTTATTATAATTGTACGTACATTTTATTTATCGTTTAAGAAATAAAAGTGTGCCTTGGAGATAATTTTAGCCAAATGGCATACAAAATAATTTTAATGATTAATAATTATTAATGTTGAGTTCATCATGAAAATACTAGCTTCTTGGTCTTAAGACATAAATAACTATTTTTGTTTTAGCCTTTTTTTATTTCTTTGCCTATTTCGTCTATTTTTCGGCAAAAAGTCCGGTCTCTTTACTACTGCAGTATGATGACATATTTCAATATGATGTTTTTATTTCTTAAGTTTTTATATAAAATTACATTATGTTTTCTGAAATTGAAATCTGAATTTTCATTATTAATTTTTTGTTAAATTACAGGTCGTTAAAAAACGCGATTTTTTTTAAAAATATGTCCATAGTGGCCTGTTCCAAACAAACAAACCTTAGGTCCAATTTTTTTAGATAATTATTGTTTTAAGTAGATTGGTACAGGATCTATCCAAAAGTCCAATAATGATTTGTTTATCTCAAAAATTAACAATTACAATGCTATGAATTTATAAAGTCAAAACGCTACGCTAACTTTAATCGCCTCTCCTGTAAAATTTAATTTTTTGACCTAAGGTTGGTTTTCTCCGAGCGCTTCACATATTATAATTAGAAATATGTAATGTGGATTTAAGTTAATATGATTAATAATAAATGTGAAATTTTAAATGTATTCTATTTTATATTTATATTGTATAATTTATAATGCATAATTTATAGAATAGAATAGAATAGAATATTTATTTCATCAAAAATTACATGAAATGTCAGATAAGGTAAAATAAATATAGTAAACAATAAGTATAAATAAAAATAAAATATGTATAGACAAATTATTCATTGGTTGGCTCCAGGCATCTGAAATATGGTTAAATATTTTCGCCCCCCAGTAGTCTACGCCTTGTTGGGTCCTCTTTTTTAAATGTGAAGGTATAATTAATTTATATTTGTTTCTGGTGTTTATTTTGTGATGCCCATTTTGTGTGAATTTATAAAAATTATTTGTACGGTATTATACACATTCGAAAATATATAGTGCAGATCTACAGCTTTCGATTTGTTTTAGGTTGCACAGAGCCCTTAGGGCTCTTTTCTGTAGCAGAAATATGTTGTTGCTGCTGGTGATGTGCCCCATAGAAAAATACCATATACCATTATGTGAATTGTAAAAATTGCTTTGAAACTATGCCTAAAATTTTGAAGTTATCATTCGAATTTTTTCCGATATTAAGTATTTGTAGTTTGTTTGAAGTAAACCATTCTTTACTTTAAGAATATTTATTTCGTAATCTTTCAGTTCCAGATAAGTACTGTCATGAAAAGGGTAACTGTTATCATCTGCGTATAGGTAAGTATTAACTTTTTCATCCTGGAATAGTAGGTCATTTATATATATTATAAATAAAATTGGGCCCAGTATGAATCCCCGAGAAAATCCATGTTTTAATTTTACCTTATCTAAGGTTTTTTTATTCCAGTACACCATTTGATGTCGCTCTTTAAGGTAGGACTTTATCAGTTTCAGTGGTATAATTATTATTGTAAATTTTTTACTTACCACATTTGCATAGAGCCCTAAAAGATGATCCAATTCGGCTTTGAGCCTTTCACTACATTCTAAAATTGCCTCTCTATGTTCATGGCTAGTATAGGCACTATCAGTGAAGTCCTGAGTTCTTTCTAACACAGCTTCTAAAGCGGTTGGTAGAGTTACTTGACAGGAAGGGTCTAAAAACATAAATATATTTTAAAATGGTGTGCCTTTATATTTTAAAAATTATACTTTTTTAAATATTATCTATCAGAAATAAACTAATTAAATTAATTAATTAATTAATTAATTAATTAATTAAATGTATAATGTATATAAAAATACAAATAAACCAATTTTATTTAATTAAATCAATTAAAACATTATATTTTATTTAAAAATATAATATTTTTTTGCAGGAAATATGAAATTTAAAAGAAAATATTTTTTTTTAATTCTAACATTGGAACGACAATATCTTTAATTAAAATAAAACCAATATTAAAAAGTTGCAAAAATGGCGAATGCGCCGGGATATAAACGGTAAGCTTTGGATAACGTGTTAAAAGGTGTTGGCCATTTAACATATTGGGGTTTTGTGATTGGCTAGTTTTTTGTTTTGAATTTATTAATTTTAAATATTATTTATATAACTATATAAAAATATTGATGGACTAACGCAAGTATAACGTACGTGTTTGATAAGGGTAAATGTGTATTATTTAATTTATAGAAACATATAATACATTGAACATTAAAAATAATAAAAATGCTGTATATAAATATATTAAATTTGTAGCTACCGTAAACACAGGTGACTTTAACCTTTTTATGAAAAATCTTTTCGCGCTCGATAAAATTATCATTTAATTTGTTGGTCTAAACCTGTTAATTGAGCGATTCTATTGAGTTTATATTACACTTTAAAATTGTTCATAGAAATACACGCGTTACAATTTCTATATTAGGCGCAATCCTTTGGAATGATGATCCTTGGTTAACTACAGGTCTTTTTTTATTTTTTTATCGGTAATCCTGGGCAATCGCTATATGTTGCTGTTAAGATGTGTCTAATAAAATAAAATATTAAGTTAATTTTATACGGAAAATATATTGTGAGACAAAGTTACCCGCAACCAGGGGGTAACTTTGCACAGGTTTTAATTTTTATTTTTTAACTCAGCCCTACGTAATATTATAACATAGTTATTATGAAAGAGCAACTCAAGACTTAAATTTTGGTATACAATATTTAATGTTTATGATTGTTAAAACCACAAAAATTTTAAGCTTAAGTTTAAAAGTGAGCTAAAGCCACCTGTGTTTACGGTACTCAAAATAGTATATTATGTATTAAGTATGATAAATACCATTTTAGTCACGAATTTAATTCGCACTAGCGAGCTTGCGAGCGAGTGCCTAATTAAATGAGTGACTAGAAAAGTTTATAAAAGACTTAAAATACTAGTTTTTCTAAGACAAATACTTATTATTATTTAAAAATGGCATAAATTAAATATTAGTATAGAGCGACATCTATAAAACAATAGAGAAACAATTCTTGGGAATCTGTATTATCGGCGCGCCGGTGAAAGTGTCAAATTGTTATGAGTAAATCAAAATGTATCCCTTGAAAATGGACCAATATGGATGCAGTTTTTTACAGTGAAAGTAAAAATAATGTTTTATGGGCACTTCACGGCGGAGTCTTTACCCAAAATTAAGTTAAATCTAGTTTACTGTCGGAGAAATTAGTACAATGTTAATATGAACTTTTCAAATATTGGCGTTAAAAAACTATTTAATACTTTTGTATATTTGTATTGAGATAATAAAATAATTTTTACATTTAGTATTATTTATCAAGAATGCCCCTTTATTTTTACGATTGTATGACATTTGACAATTGAAAACTGAAAACCTATTGACCGTAACTAAAACGCCATAAAGCCACAACTTGTCAATGTGTATTTAATAGGTCACTTAGGCCCGGTTTTATCATCACTAGTTAAAATTAAATTACTACTTAGTTAGTAGTTAATTTGTTTTGGTGTTTTACAATTAGTAGTTATTTATCCAAGTACAGATTATGTTTTAGTTTCCGTAACTACCACTTCTTGTATTAGTAAAGTGGTGGTTAACCTAAAAATACAGTTAATATTGTGCTTATTTTAAATATGGATTTATTGAATTGGGATTTTAATATTTATGACGGTGATGACGAAGTTTTATTGAGACGTCCAAAAATTGTTAGACCTCGGACATAATGTGTATAATGAATGCTAACTTAAAATATACTATATATTTAACCAAGGTGTCCAGTATTCTGTAGAAAAAAATGTCCAGACCCTTTTAGGTTTTCCAGAAAGTAACCAGCATTATGTTTAAAACACATTTTTTTATGAAAAAACGCACATTGATTTAAAAAAAAAATATTTTGTCCTTAAAACCCCTGAATACTAAATTTTGCTAAACAAAAAAGTTAATATTTTGAAAACTAGTTTTAACAACCCAAACTTAACAGGATTAGATAAAAAAAAGCATAAACTGTATTTGGCATCAATCCACATTGCAAATTGTACTAGACAAAACGGCATTTAGTATACTTATTGCAAATGTACAGTACCGTAACACGGGATAGAAACTTGAAGGAAAATAGAATCAAATTTATACTATTTGTTTAAAAATCATATTTTGTTTAAATTACATTTGGAAAGTTTCGGTTAAGTATATAAATTTATAAACTTAAACCAAAGCTTCCCAAATTTAATTTAAACAATCTATGATTTTTTAAACAAATCCTGTAAATTTGAGTATATTTCCGACGCCAGTAATAACAAAACAAAGCAGTCTACTTTTCTCAATTCACTTTTACAGCGCAAATAAGGTTATATTTGGCGATTTCCGGTAATATTTAATACCAACATGACAAAAATATGTCAAAAGTTGTGATTCTGTAACTATAGTTATTATAATACTTCAAAATGCATGAAAAAACAGATAACAATTTAACTAAAAATTTACCTCTAGTTAAATATAACTGTAACTTACGAAAGTACTAATTAAATGTAATATTGAAAAACCGGGAAACATGTACGATAATGAACGTTTTAAAGGTGGGAGTAAAAAAAAAGTTCAAACCATTTTTCAGCTATACTTTGACGCATTCGCCATTTTTTAAACTTTAAGTTTAAAGTTTTTATTTAACCTATTATTTGGTATTATTAATAATTAAAACATTAAAAATGACACTTAAATTTTAAAAATATATTTGCCAACTTAATTATTTAAACATTATTATAATTTATTTAAATTATTTTAAAAATGCTTCATATTATAAAAAAATACAATACTATAATGTTGATAGAATGAACGTTTAATATATTTGTTCTTACCCATAGCAGTTTTACTATGCTCCAATAGATTCTGTAGATACCTCATACAGGCATAGGCAGTACCCCTATCGCTTTCCAGTTCTTCTCTATGCGTTGATTGTACACTTGACTCGCTGTTATTGTTTAAAACGCCATCCTTGACGACGAAATGAATAAGGTCCATTGCCCTCCTCATCTGACAGAAAACTGTGTCGCGGTTTTCTCGAGCCGCAGTGCATTCTGAATGCCGAAGACATGTCTAAAATATAAAGTATATTGTCAAATTTGAAATTTGAAATTAATTTTTTTTATATCTTATCAAGGACCATATCTCATGATGAAGTAAAATAATTTAATACCTTAGAAGTAGGAAGTATATTTTAGAAAATAAAAGAAAAATCATTTGTTATAATTTTTTTAATATTATCCCATGCTGAAATGCAGTGTAAGTTTCCTATCTGAATAAAATAGAGTTTTCGGCATTGAATAATTAATTATTTATTCCGGCCAAAGTAACTGTTCAAAAAAATTTAAACTTGTCAGGACTTAACCTTATTTTAGTAGCCTTATAATTTCTACAGATTTTTAGCTATTATAATTTAACAGTTTCAGGTAGATGATTTTTTTAAATTTTAGAAATTCATTTAACTGAAAATAAATTATGAGGTTAAATTAAGTCAAGTTTAAATTTTTTTTTAACATTTACTTTGACCGGATTGAAAAATGAATTATTTAATGCCGAAAAACCCATGTTATACAGATAGGAAACTTACATAGCATTGCGGCATGGGATAATATTAAGATAGGAACTTAAAACTTGGTAAACACATTAATATTTATTTTAAACCCTGTATGCCCCTGCAAGCATACAAATTCAATTTTTTTTTGAATTCGGAAATTTTAATCTTCCACCCATATTTTGTGAAATATGTGTGAAAAATCATGGCAATATAACCTCGCAGCGTAGAAAAAATCCATGAAAATTAAAAAAAAAACAGATTAAAAGAGTTTTATTTTGTAAAAAACGATGTTTCTAAAACCATGTTAATTATCCTAATAAATAATATTTGAGTCATTACTTAAAAATTTGTAACATGGATTCATTTTTTTTATTTGGGAAACGTGATTTATAATCTTTAACAACTTGGAGCAAATATTGTTTTTGATCTTCATTTTTTGTTAAGGTTGATTATATTTACCGATAAGCTTTATGCCTCGTTCAGCTGCAGCATTTACTACTTTAATTTTATTAACAATATCCAAACATTGTTTATAAGAGGAAGTTATCAAAAATTCTGTAGGCAAGCTTAACTTATAAAACAATTCTTTACTTCTATCGCATATAAATTTGTTAATTTCCTTGTGTTTAATGTCATTAATATCATTTATCATCAACCGTTTAATGCCTTCTTCATTTCGTTTTATTTTCTTTAAAGCTGCAACCATAGACCACTTTGTCAAAATTTCGTAATCAAAAAAAAGATCACAAAATATTTACTGGATTTAAATACCACAAATGGTTTACTATTTTTTTTGCTTACTACAAGTCAGAGCTGGCCAAGTACTGAGTACTTTTACTCGTATTTCAATTACGAGGAAAAAAGTACGGGTATTTTTCATTTGAAATAATTATTACTCGTACTTACAAACCAAATTCAGTTTACTCGTAAAAAATACTCGTGGAATTCACGGGTAATATATACGATTATTTTTGTTTATTTTATGGATGACTTTTTGTCAAAATATCGTAAGAATCAAAATATTTTTTTTGTTTTAAATTATATAATATATAGTATAATATAATATATTATAGCCTATAGGTTTAATAACAAGTAAATAAGAAAGTGGAGCAGTTTTTGAGATATAGTTAATTCCATATTATATGGAAAATGGACTATATCTTAAAAACTATTCTACTTTTCTAGTTTTTGATGACATTTTCGGATTCAGGGAACAATTTTAGATGGAAATTGACTGCTAAATGTTAAAAATACAAATTGGTATTGACAAGAATTATTAGTGGATGCTTTTTCGCTATGACAATTAGTCATTTTTGACTAACCCATTTTTAGAGAGTAAAGAATAATCAATTATATTAACTAATTTTTTTTTAAAGTACTCGTACTCTTTACTCGTTATTTCAAGATTACTACTCGTAACCGTAACCTCTCTTTACAAATGTACTTACGAGTAAATATTTTAAGTACTCGTACTTAAAATTTTACGAATACTTTTTTAAAACTCGTGCCCAGCTCTGCTTACTACTTGAGATATCTCTTTGTCAATATTTTTATATTCATCCAGTTCTTTACAAAGTTGTAAATCAAGTAATGGTGCATTGTTCGCTAGGACACTTTAAACAAAGCTATTATGAATTGTCAAACATAAATTTATAACATTTTCAATCTCAAGTTTAAAGCCTCTAGAATTTGTTTAATGTTTTCTACCTGTCATCCCAAATTTTGACACAAATTATTATTGGAATAATAGAACATTTCTATGGTGTACGAGGCAAAAAAAATTACCCGAAAATCTGCACCACTAATTATTATGGGGAATAAAAATAGTATATTTATTTATTTTCCTAATAAATATACATTTGTATGCGTATTTAAATGAAGTATATTTTCATAACATATTATGTCGAATATTTTGAGGTAAACCCCAATATTAGCTACATAACACCCTCAAAATATTCGACATATATTTTTGATCACGAGTGGTATTAATAATAGGAGGACAATTTTATTAAAGCAAAATTTCAAATGAATTATAAAAATATGCAACGCCTACTTATTCAAATATACTGATTACCTTTATTTGAAAATTTCTTCTAATTAAATGTATTTGAATATGAATGGTGAGTTAATTAATTACTTAAGGATATTTACCTAAAACATATTTTTGTATTTATATTTAAAGTTTTAATTTATTTCTAAATTATATTTGGAATTGTTAAATAGCAGTTTCAGGATGTTGTTATATAAATTAAAAGTAAAAAAATTTATTTATTTGCGTAAAGGAACAATTTTAGAGAATGAATGTTTTTAGCTACCAAGTAGCTAAAAACTTTCATTCTTTAAAATGCTCTCTAAATTGTTAAATATAAGGGTGTATTTATGTGATAATTTAGACGTTTTGCACGTTTTGTTAAAAGCACTTTAAATAATTAAATGCCTTTAATAAAACTCTTAATTTAAGAAAATACTTCATTACTTCAATTAGCTTTAATAGCTGTGCTTGTAAATAATTAAATAGTCAAGAAAGCTGAAAGCGTAACTTTTAAAAAACTATTTTTTTATTTTTTAAAGTTTTAAGGGTACAATAAAAAATCTAAATTTATAGTTTACTTATGTTATATAAATAACTGGCTGTAGACCCGCGGCTTCGCTCGCGTGGTTCTAATGAAAAAATAGCGGACCAATTACAGAGATGGTTATAGAAATGTTATTGCTACAAATAAGTATATAAACCATTCTTATGCAAAAAACACGTCGAACAGTTTTATTTTTAGTTAAAAAAAACAGTAAATAAATTTTAAAAAAGTCGATGTTCAAAAATATACTTAAAAAAAGTCAAAGAAACGTGAGCTTGGACCACTCGTCTAAAATAAAACTTATTTTGGACAATTTGAATAAATTCGTGTTTTGTTTTTATATACATATAATCGATATAAACTTTGTATTGTGGTGCCTTTTTAAAGAATTTAACATACTGATATTTAAATTAAATGTAAGGGCAGTTTTTTAAATAAACAATTTTTTCGAATTTGAACGGTTTTAAATTACCCAAAAGCTTGTAGGCTTTCCTACATTTTTGAAATAGCTACATAGCCAAGTAGCATTATAGTGACGAAAACTGATATCGCCACTTTAAATGACTTTATATTATATTACTTTATATTATATTAACATGCTTGTAATAATGTGATTACATATGCTTCATAGTTTTATAACTTTTTGGTGTATCAGTCTGGTTTCTGAAACGGTATGACCCCTTTTAACACCACCTAATTCTCAATAGTAGCTGCAACCAAACCACATCACTTAAGTATTACATGGAAGTGATAGTAGTAGTAAAGTTTTGTCAAGTTTTCGTAACTTTTTCCAAACCTTGAATGAGCCAAAACTTGATTATATAATTGCGGTGGTCATTGCCACGTTCTTGCTACCAGCCTAAGTGATTTCCAAGTTTCGCATGGGATTACCACCTTTAAGTTCCCTTCTTTAAAAGCAGTCCTGATTACAAATAGTCTGGTCAGTACTGCACCAAATTTAATACGTAATTATTAGTTTCAGGTGACTAGAAATATAAAAGAAATTATTTGAGGCCTCTAACTAAATAATTTTTGGGTTCGCTAAGCTTACAGATTTTTATATTCTTTTTCATTACCACATATTTTAACGGGGCGTGCTTAAATTTTGAGCTGTAACGTCCTCTCTAAAAATGAATCAATCAAAAGTGACTAATTACCAGAGTTATTAGTGGCTGCTTTTTCACTTGTACCATGGTTAACCATGGGATACCATGGTATCCCAAAATTTAACATCCAATTCTTATGTAAAATTCTCCCCTGAATCGGAAAATACCTTCAAAAATTATAAAAGTAGAGCAGATTTTGAGATAGAGTCAATTCCATATCAAATGGAAAATTGACTTTTTAACTTTTGATGACATTTTAAGATTCAGAGGACAATTTTACATGAAAATTGCCTGCTAAATGTTCGGGATACAAATTGCTATTGACGAGAATTATAAGTAGCTACTTTTTCGCTATGACAATTAGTAATTTTTGACTAATTCATTTTTAGAGAGCCCATTTTTGACAGTACACTGTTTAAAATATCTGTGGTATAAAGGGTAATCTTAAAATGGTATCTAAATCCAACACCAAGTGGTGTTAATATAAACACCATGAATAATGGTTGAAAATGTTATATACAGCAAACACCAAAACGGTAAATATCTAAAAATATTTGAGAAGTGCACCTACAAAGAAAAAAAGGAAAAGTTAATTTAACTATATTAATTTAGTTGACCCATAAGTATTTATTTAACCCTTAACTACTCGCGCCAATTTTTGTAACATAAGTGGTCGCGCGGTGCACTGAGTGCTCCGCTCCTTAAAATGGCTATATTGCTGAATGTTTTCAATTTTAATATTACTTTTGGTTATATTCCGATGAATAAACTCTATTTCTTAAACACAATATTTATTAAAAAATAAAACAAAAAGCAAATAACAAAAAAGTTATTACT